GACGGCGCCACAGATGAATCAAGTTGGCAAATACCAACCGAGCATTCAGAATTACGAAAACTTCGTATTCTGTTACGGATATTGTAGAAAACATTCCGGAGACCTGAACTGAAGAACTGCATAAAGGATCTAATTGATCAAGATTGCATACCGAAGGGCCACAGCAAAATTACCCACAATGAACGTGAGGACGATTTAATCCGCAGCTATTCGAACACATATAACACGCATCGCTCGCTCGACTGGACAAATCCCTACTGAGGCGGTTTGTAACAATTGGTCGCATGAGAATACAACCGGTGATTGTTACAATCGATTTCATCCGTGTGTGTGTGCTTGTGTTTGGAGACTCAAATCTGAACACACGGCTGACCAAGTTTGACCGTGGAATTCTTTATCTCGTTGACCTTGAACTGGCTCACGGAACTCCGCAGAATCCCAGATGCCGAGAGGTACAAAGGGAGTGGTAGTCGCAGCAGCCGGATAAGAACAGCGCTGACTGAAGGGATTATTTACGAAAAAGCGTTGTGAACGCAACGTGTCCGGAAACTGAACAAAAAATAATAGACGGGGTGAGCGACTATATTCATTTCGTGGATGGAAGTTAGATCAAACAGATTTCGATTATTTGCATCGTCGTCATCGGGCTTGCCGCATTACAATAACCCATGTGAAGGGATATTTGTTAAGCGGATGCATAATGCGGTTAAATGTGGATCGATGATCAAAATAATGCGAACCGTTGCGACGCGGAGAGCAACTACTTACTTCACAAAAAACGTCTGGAGTAATGGAACACATCGGGCAATCAGTTGAACACTGCGGGAGGCCAGAGCCAAATTGCGAGCGGATATGGTAGGCAGATCGGCCGATTTGCGTGCTTCTGCGCCCAGAACCAGTTGACATGTCCGCGAATTGAAGGACTGAAATACGAAATTGGATTAGCCGTGCACAACGCCTGAATATTTATACAAATCATGTAAACACTCGAGTTAAAAAAAACATTAATGCGGTGTTGGTCCTGCCAATAATTTTATGGTTGGTTCAAAATGTAGAAAATTGTCACATAATGCTGGACACTAAAAAAACATGATAAACCAGATATCCATGTGAATTCTTTTTCTTTAACGCGGCTCGCTCCTTCAATAGGATAAACCGGATCCGTCATAATCATTGAGTTCCTTGTGTTCTCGTTAGACATACGATAGATAGATACGAACGCCTCTATTCTAGATCCCAAAATTGGCACGGGAGAGAGAGAAAAAAGACTGGAAAACAACAGATTGCATTCTATGGTCACGATGCACGTAAAAGTGGGTAGATTAGGCGTATGGAAACGACGTGGTGACGCACCAATCAGATCGCGTCCTTGACACCCCGATTGGTCGATCGGACAACTGCGGTCTGATTCGTCCGAGTCATCCAATCCGGA